CTTAGCCTCATGAATGGACTACACTGCGAACCAACTCGGTCCTGCCTGAACAGTCAAGGAAGCACAAAAATGAAAACCTGAAAAATAGCATGTCTCAAATAATGGCTTCTAAGGAAGACTTAATATTTATATTAATTTAGCCTACCTTTCAAGATGTTATCCCATTATAAGTAAAAACTAGAGCAAACAAGTAATCTGACCATTATCTTGCTACACCTTCTCAATCTGAAAGGCTAGATCTATAAAACTACATAGAATGTGGAGGTTTGTTTTAAGCATCAAAATTCAACAGGTCGTGTCACTGCACTGACAAAAGAAACAAGGAAAATTTGATTTAAGCAAATTTGTGACATTATTTTATCTGAAGTATTAGTTCTTTCCTAATCCCCCTTCTTTTAAATCTGTCACTCTACAAAGAGGTATTCTGAAGTACAGGAAAAAAAAAATCTCACACAGAGATTGGAGAAAGACTAAAATTCAGCAAAAGGTAAAAATTAGCATTCATATTCCATTCACCAGCTGAAAACATCAACACCATGTTAAAAGATCTCCAGCAGAGAACAGCAAGCTACCAGAATATGCCCTAGTGTTGCAGGAAGTATTTTAGGTGCAAATTTAATGAATTAATCCAGACTGCTGTTTACCTGCAATGATGTGTGCTGAAAGCAAACCAGACCTTAAAGACATGTTTAGAGCTGATGTGTGCTGAAAGCAAACCAGACCTTAAAGACATGTTTAGAGCTGACACCGCTTGCTTATTCACTTCCACATTCTTTACTATATCACAAACATCAGAACACAAGCGATGTTAACAGAGAATAATCCCTAATCCCCGACATCCTTCTACAATCCCTTTGACGTGGATTTAACAAGGAATTGACATATCTCCATTGAGGCTTGCTTCCAACAGCAGTAACTTACAGCACACACGTGATTGCCCAAATGTATCACAAAGACTTACCACTGACAGCCAGAACGTAAGGGAGACAAACACATTACAGCATGCGGTGCAGCAGGCATTACTGCTGGGCTGTAGCAGTGACACTGTATCATTCAGAAGTCCTGGGTTTACAAACAGATACTTCAAAAAAGGGAAATTTCCTTTCCCCGGGACCTCATGGCAAAGTTCAGTACAGGATAGCGCATTACACTCTCCTCCACGGATTCAAATCAGGCCTTCATTTTCACGTTTAAGTTCAAATGTAATGGAAACTTTGAATTCAGAAAAGCGTAGACACACATTTACGATAAAAGCTGCACTGTCAACATATTTCCCAGCCTTCCCCTAAAAAAATCAGTTTGCAAGGCTGACGTTTAAATTTTTTTCCAATATAAAAATGGGAAGAGGATGCACTAATTTAAATGATTTCATAAAGCTTCCCTTTAAGCACAGTAAAGCAACAGTCACAGACCTCCACACCTCTGAAACATTTAGCATAAAAATAACCACAGCCTGAAAGGAAACAAAGAAAAGACTACTGAGAAGATTAATAACCTTAATTCTTATTATTTTGTGGCCCGTTTTAACGCTCGCCACAAGAATGCAAGAAATGAGGAGAAGGCATCGTAAACACTCGGTTGGAATATACCCACCCCTGGCCGAGAGCTTTTTGGTGTTGATGATTTTGGCAGCATACTCCTGTCCTGTGGTGATTTTCATACATCGCCTCACGACCGAGAATGCCCCTCTGCAAGCCAAAAGGGGGACAGAGCGTCAGTATCACCCGAACAGCTCCCTGCCATTACCACCGCGCTGCCACTCATCTTAGGGAGCGGCGCGATGCCCAAAGAATTAAGGGGGGAGGGGGCAGGGTAATAAGGAAAAAAAATATATAAGAAGAAGGGGGGCTTTTCAGAGACGGTCAACGTCGATTTTATTCATCGCAACAGCAAAACGCTACTCAGAGCCGCTGGTTCGAGCCGTGCGACCGAAGCCCTCGGCCGGCATACACCACGGCCGCGCGGCGGGAAGAAAAGCGGCACGTTACGGCCCCGGGGCGGCACACGCCGGGGGCGGCGCGGCAGCGGGTCCCGCTCCCAGTGCCCGCGCCAACATGGCGATCGGAGATACGCGCCCCACCGCAGGGGGGCGCCCAACGCGCCGCCCGTTGTTGGCGGTCGCGAGCTCCGGCGGCCGATAGCGGGGCAGCCCCTCACTGCTCGGAGCCCGCCGGCACCCCCAGGGATCGCCGCCCCCCCGGGCTGTACGCACCCACGGGGTCGGGCGGGCGCACGGACCGACTCTCACCCTTGAAGCAACGCCCGGGGACGAGGCGGGGCTGGAGGCGTCGCCCCGCGCACCCCTGCCCGCGGGGACCGAGCCCTCCTCTCTCCCCCGACTCTCGGTCCTTCCCTCCCCCCGACCCCGAAGCGGCTGCCCCGCGCCCGGCGGGCTGCGTACTTACTTCCCGAGCTCCTCGAAGAGCTGGTACTCGTCGGTGAACCTGGTGCAGGTGGCGGTTGAGGCCATCATGGGGACGGGCGGCCGCCGGTGCCTCCGGCGGCCAGGGGAGGCGAGGCGGCAGAGGGGCCGTGCGGTGGGCGAGGCGAGGCGAGGCGAGGCGAGGCTCCGCGCCGGCTTCTCCTCGCCGCCGCCTCTCGTGACGGGGCTGCCGCCTCCTCCCCGCCAGGCGGCTCGTCCCCGCGGCTTGGCTCTCCCCTCCCCTCGTCCCCACCCTCTGGGAAAATAAATAAATAAATAAAAATGTTGCGACGGAGAGGCGGCACCGAAAGGGAAAGCAAAACCGGGGCGGGGGGGCGCGGCACAGCCGCCGGTGACGGGGCGCCTCGGCCCTACGCTCTCCCCTCCCCGCGGGTAGCGGGGCCGCCGCGCCTCGCTCTGCTCCGTCTCCCGGTGCCGTGCCTCCCCCTAGCGATCCGAGCCCGCCGGCCGCGGCCGCCCCGTCGCGGCTCTCTGCCGCCGCCTCGCCGCCCGTCGGGGACGCCGCGAGGCGGGGGTTGCCGCCACCGCGCTCAGGGAACCGCTCTGCGCGGGGACGACCCCTCCCGCTCCGCACCGGGGACAGCGGCGGGAGGCACGCAGCGCCGCTGGCCCCGAGGAAACGGATGCACCTGCGCCCCGTTCCTCGGCGACCGCTGACGTCACCAACCGTCCCGCGGGGGCGGGGGGGCGGCCGTGCTCGTGGGCGCGCGCGGCGGCAGCCAGCGGGAAGCGCGACCGCGAGACCCTCCCCCGACCCCCCCCATCCTTCCCGCCCCTCGCCGTCGCGTGGCGTCACCGCGGCCGCGTGCGGGAGGGGCGACGGGCGCGGGGCTCCGCAGCCCGGGGAGGGCGTGTGGGGAGCGCTGCGGGCGCGAGGCTGCGTGCTGCGGGCGGAGGAAAAGGCAGCCGTGCGTTCACGAGCGGTCGCCCCGGGGCTTTGACCTTGGGCTCGTTCCTGCGGCGGGGAAGGGCAGCTCCGCGCGGAGCAGCTGGCGGCCGCCACGAGCGCCGAAGGAGGGCTGGACGACCCGCGCCGCGCGGCGTGAGCCGAGAGGGTCCGAACGTGGTTGTGCGAGGAGTCCGCACCGTGCTTCGCTTGGAAGGATGGGAATGCTGTTCCTGTAATGTCACTGAGAGCCGTGCTGAAAATGCTGTTGGGATAAAGCATCTGTGCATGGGAAATTCTGCGCCCGAAGTATAAACGTGTCTGGTTTTGTATTCATTTCATCCCCAAGATTTCCTGTCCAAAATAACCTAAAGCCAAAGCAGCAGCAGCAGGTGAAGAACTGCTAATGGTGGTAACTGCAGCATTCTTCACAGCCCAAAGACGCTCTCCCGAGTTGGAAATCATTACAGCTTGACTAAAAGCCATCCCAAATGTGGCCATTTCCACACCTGCCACCCAGGCACACGCTGATAGACGCAACCATGCTCCCGGCCCAGGCCCTGGCATGGCTGGTGCTCTGTGCCGGGCACCTCGTGTGGTTTGCTGTGTGTTCCTGTCTGCTATACATAGTGGAGGTGCATTAAGGAATGAGCACTGTGCAGTGCTTTAAACATGTAGTGCACTGGAGATGTCAGCTTGCATTACAGCCAGAGCCGTGCTGTAGCGGGCAGCCTGCAGCACAGGGGTAGGCAAGCAGCTCAGAGCACCCTGTGCTGGCGTGCCAGCAGGGACACACGCCATGCAGGTTTCCCTTAGGATCCACAGCTGAGACCTCATAGGAAGAGTTAAAAATCTGGCAGCTCTTCCCTCAGCTAATGCGGGATGTGCGTGTGCACGCAATGTGAATGTGTGAGCCTGTGCACAGCAGCAGTTTTCCTCCTAGCAAGGCAGCTGTATCGTGTAGAAATGGGCTGCACTCATGGCGTAAAGGAGCGATAGAAGAAGGCTGTGAAAATGGGGAGCCAGTAGCAAACATTTACTCCCCAGTTCCTCTTCAGGGGAGAGTTGTGTGCAGGATGCTGGTACAAAAAGACAGGGAGATGTCTCAGTTTATAACAGCAAATGAATGAACTACTGTCAGATCGGTGAAGGGAATATGCACAAAATATCACAAGGAACAGAGGCGTATTTCCAACTCAGGCCATTCTGTGATTCTATGATTCTATGATATTTCTTAGACCCTTGAACAAAACTGCAACATGTGAGTCATGCATAATTTTGTATTAATCTCCATAAATAACACAATCAGCAGGACTGAAGCCCCAGGGCTGTCTGACGATGTGCATATTTACAGGGGCATGTCCGGCAGGCTGCTGATCTATGTATTCGTAGGCACTCAAAGCATATTCCCCTGTCCTGTATCATTTTTTTCTAACAGTATATCCTGACAACAGACATTTGGCCAAAGTATCTGTTGTGACTGTGCCATCAAAAAATGTTCAGAAGAAATTACTGAAGTCCATCCGTTTTCTTTTTCTGTTGGAGTTCTGTTTAGTAATGATATTAAAAAGGTGCACGATCTAGACAAAAAATAAATAAATAAATATCTTTCTCTTCCACTTCCCAATATGAAAAAAAATAAAAAAATAAAAAATTGAGAAGCAGCCAAGGTGTCCTAAGAGCAATATCCAGTATGAATTTTATTACAGGAGTTCAGGAAAGAAAATAATTGTTTACAAGAGCAGTATCATAAGGACTTGGAGAATTTCCAGGGGGACAGATACTTGGGAATGATTAATAGCTTGGAAACACTTGAGCTGGGAAGTTTTCTTCTTGTTACAACAATGCTCCCTTAAATGCAGTTCACTCTTGAGCTGAAACAGAACGATGATTTGTAGCTGCTACTTAAGTCCTCCATAAATTCTCCAAACTTTCTGAGAGGAGCAGAGCCTCTGCCACGGCAGCCAAGGACCTGGGCCTGTCAGTGAATTCTAAAAGCTGGCTCCAGGTTCAGGTTTCCCTAAGGCCGCAAAAGTAGTTCATCTGTGGTTGCTTTAGTGGACGCAGAAAGTCAGACCTCCATAATGAACCAAAAAAGGCTTAGAGAAAATCCTAGGACATGTTTCTCTCCTCCAGAAAAAAGAAATATTAAAAGAGAATTGTAAATAGCTGAAGTCTGTAAGAAATGGAATAGCTGTTCCTCTAACGTCTCTGCAGCTTAACAAAATGTTACAGCCCAGTGGAACAAGCACTTAATTTCAGAATCTGAAACAATATTTATTGTGGCAAAGGAAATGGTATTTTTGTTAAAAGTATGCTATTCATCAAGGGCTTTCCTGTATATGGCTTTTTTATTCAGCCAAAGCGAGGTTTTCATTTTATTTCTGATCTCACAAATACAGACTTTCTCTCTGCTTGTGTTTTGAAGGAGTTAGAGAGCTTTTGAAAGGTCATTCGTGTACACTCATTATGAGCTCTGCTAGGAGTACTGTATATTTAGCTTATGGACAAACTGAATGGCCACTTACAGCAGAGGTCCAGATAGAAAACGGCCTTGATTGATACCTAGGTAACCATGGGTTTAGAGAAATACTGTTTAGTACCAGATGGTCTTGAATGGCAGCCCATGGTCCTTCTCAAGTATTCCTGTGGCAAAGCTTTACTGCCCCAAAGTGAGTGACAGTGAACACTGATGCGGTTACAGGTGCATATGACAATAAAGCCAATGAACTGTAACTTGATCAATAAAGCATACAAATCTTGTTGATACAAAATGTGAACCCAGATTGGCAGAACTCACTGGCGAGCAATGGTCTCCTCAGCAGCATGATAAAAGTCACTCTGCCTTGTGCTGCTCTAGAGAGGCTTGCATGGACAACACCTGACACCCAGCTCTGGTTGCACCAGGAGAGTGGTGGTGGGCTTGACATAACAAACAAGGAGGGGGTGAAGGAAGCTGAGATCTGTGCAGTAAGACAACAAATTTCAACATTTCTGCTAACACGATCAGCAGGGAGAGGGCAATGGGTAAGAGTACAGTGGGAAAGTCAGAGGAGAGATTCTGAACTAGAAACAAAATAGAAAGGAAAAGTGCTGCGTGGGAGAGAGGAAGGGAAAGATGCTAGACAGAAGATAGAAAGGGGAAATCAGTGCAACAGGGCTGTGGCTGATGGAGTTACATTACTTGTGTAGTGAGAAATGAGAAAAAGGACAGTAAATGAGTTTTGTAATAGGAATAGAGAATCACAAACGGAACAAAGGAAGAGACAGGGAACAGAGACAGAAAATGTTATTTTAAGAAAAAGGAGTAAGTAAAGAGAAACTGAAAGAAGGTCAAACAGTTATTGGTGTCAGTAACAAAAATGATCAATGTGAAAGTGGATAGAAATATGAATATATGAAGACAGTGGGAAAATGGAGAGAGGTTAATCAGAATATCACACAAACATACGAGAACAAAGAGGCATAAGAACAGACAAGAGGATCAACAGTAAGAAATCACACAAGATAAGATATTTGGGTTTGCAGTTCACTGTAATGGTTTGGCACTGCATTAGCTGGCTGTTAAAGTACTGTGACTGCTGAGTCTGAAAGGGGTGCACTTCTGCTTTTTCACCTTTGGATATGAAATGATCCACGCATTCTCCATGAGTAACTGCAGACAGTGCTGGGAAGATGCGCTCTGAGGTGGCAGAAGGAGAAAGTTCCCCATGGGAAGAAATAACAGTTTCTTCCCAAAAAGCTCCACTTGGGGGCTTCAGCTCAAAGTCAAGGCTAAGCTTTCTGTAATGGCTCTTTAATAGGAGCTGGCACAGGAAATTGTTTTGTAATTGATAGACCTCAATGCTTTTACATATTGCTGCAGAAATATTAATTTGGAACAGGAGGCATGCAGCAACAGGGACACTCAGCTGCTCTTCCTGCCGTGAGCGGCCTCAACCCAGCAGACCAAAGTGAGCTGGAGGCAACAGATGTCAGATCAGCACTAAGTTATCTGTTGTGCCATTTTTTGGACTTCTTTTGTTTCCTCATTGGAACTGTTGCTTTTCTAAATAAAGATTTTGGCGGGTAGTAACTCTGGTAGCATCACCTGGTCAGTATGGCAGAATCACTCAATGTAGCCCACATGCTTTCATTTCCAAGCACTGATTGTCATCCAATCTGTGTCTTTGTGCTTTCTGCAGGAACAGCTCCCTCTCAAGCACCTTCTGGTCAAGACCCCCAGCTGCCATCTCTAGAAACTGGGGCCAGCTGCAGCCGCCCCAGGTCTCCACCAAGTTGGAAAGAGCCAAGATGGAGACACTGAGAGGTCTGACTTAGGGCATGTTTTCTTCCCACGGGGAAGCTTTATTGCTCAATCCCTTGCTGTACTTGTTCTACCATGTGTGCATAAGCACTCAGTGAAGTAGATCCTTGAAGGTTCCCCAAAGAAAATTAATTATTTATCCATTATTTACACTCTCGACAAGCACCTTCCTACTCAACTACAGCAATGTGTGTGCTCTCTCTTATTTTCCTGCTGCAGCGCTCCTATGTAGGATTAATTTACTCTTCAGTGAAGCAGAAAGATGTTGGCAGAATAACTGATTTGATAGCTCAGTGATTCTATCATGCTCTTGTTATGCGGGGGACCAAGTCTTCTTTCTGGCCTAAAAAAGCATTACTCCTGACAGTCTAGGAGACACTGCAGGCCATTTGCCTCCCACCTCCAGAAGCACCACAGGACAACTAGGACAAAAAATATATATATTTTTTTGGTGGCAAGAACAAAACTACAGGCCTAGCAAAAATGAAATTTTAAATTTGTTTGCATTGGAAAGGAAAAAAAAAACTCTAATGATATACAAGTTTCATTTAACAACTTTGAATGGTTTGTTTTTTATCTTCATTTGAGGGCATTTTTAACTGAGAATAACAAAATAATACTTATGAAGAAGTTTGCTTCTCTTTAATTCACTTCAATTTTGAGCTGCGTGTTTATTTATTAACTGCTAGCAAATAAAAAAGGATAAGGAGATGCTGCAGGCTGTGGTTGAATTACTCAATTGAGTAAGGACTGGAAGTCAGAAAGGAATAGTGAAACACAGAAGAGCAAAACAGAGACAGGAACGCAGAAGGTTGCTGAATAATGCACTTAATGACTGAGACCTTATCAGTGGGGTGCCAAACCAGGAATTCAGATCCAGTGACAAAGTCAGCAAATACCACTGCCAGAAGCAGTACCATGGTAAATCTTCACACCCAGCTCAAAAACACCAGTGATTTATAGAAAGGGTTCAGACTGTTTCAGTGTTTCAGTAAAGCTATTACAAGCTGTAATACTTAGGAACATTACTGCACAGCTGCAATGTGTTTTTGAAAAAGAGGAAGGGACACTTCTCAAAACAGTCATTTAGCAGCTGGTTTATTACTGGTTTTGCTATCAGTTACCTTTCTCTGCAGGCAAATCACCATTTCCCTTTGAGTTGAATAAGGACATATCCCAGTACCTACTAAAGGTAAAAGGGGTTTTCTTTCCCTGTTTTCAGTGGATCTCCTGGTGAGCGCTGTTGAGATAAAGCTTTGATGTGTTAGGCTGTCAATATTTTTAACCAGCCATGTTGATAAGGTTACTGATGAACCTCAAAAGTATTTTGTAGCAGGAAGACAGAAATTATTTCTCTAGACTGACTTCTCACAAGCACTTGGAGTGAGTTATTCAAGACCTCGCTAGACTGTAAATTGCCTACACTCATTTGCTACATACAAGATCCAGGAGCTGATATCTCAAATGCTGTCAATAACTACAGATCAGACTATGCACACACATATGTACACTATTATGTTGTGATTAGAGGGTACAGTGAGGAACAGATAAGCACACATACACACACAAAAAAAAAAATTAAAAAAAAATACATAAACAAACAAACAAACAAAAACATTGATCTTAATGTCCATAATTAAATATGAATGGTTCCAAGATGCTACTAAAGTGGCCTGAATTTTCATCCCAATCAGATGACTAACATAGTTTATGTATAATAACTTTGAGAGTTTCTTTGCTCAAAGTTTCCAGCATTAACAAAAAAATATAGAAAAAAAATTAACAACAAAAAAATAGAAATATCTGTTACAAATTTATCTGAAGCAGCCATGGATCTAGGCCTTATTAAATCATTAAATTTCTCCCCAGTTTTCTTCAAGAAAGAGTGGGAAAGAGATCTCTAAGTGGAAGTGAGCTGTGAGTATGACGCTGGGGAGATGCATCCAGTTGACAAAGCACCTCCAAGAAAAGGTAAAGGAAAAGAAACCACAAAATTAATCTAATCAGACCCCAGAAGCCCCAGTTTTAGAAAATGCCTGATGAAACCTTGTCTGAATAAGGCTATAGACTTTCTACATAAGGCTATGGGTGATAGTGCTCAGGTCACTCATTGAAGCAATGAAACCACTTCAGGGAAGATAGTTATGACAAATACAAGAAGATCAATCATCCCAGTGACACACCCACTGCTTTAGGTTCATTGCAACTTAACCTAGCAGAGCTGCAGGAGGCCTCAGGACTCCAAAGTGTGAGCAGAAAGCCCAGCAGTTTTGGAGGTGTTGTGCTGGAGGTGGCACGTGTGGTGGAAGCTGTGGGAGTGGAGACAAGCCGTGATGATGAGTGGGTGCTGGCTCCAGTGTGCTTCTGCAGCTTCTGTTACTGCTCTTCAGGGGTTTGGTTTGTTGAATTTATTTCTGTGGTTGCTTCCCAAATGTTTCTGGAAATTTCAGCACCAGCCTTGAGGCTTGCTGGCTGGATGTCGGTGGGACTCAAGAAGGAAAAATGTAACTGCCTCCAGAGTTTCCAGAGAGATGTTACTTTTGGTTTGGTTGTGATTGAATCTGAAGAACATGTGCATTTTGTTTCTGGTGTGGTAAGAGGCCTAATTGTCATGTTATCTTGTGATCTAAATTCAAGAGAAATACATGCATCTGGTAAAGTGGACTATGACAACCTCAATATCACCACCATTATGCTGCATTCTGTTGACACATTCCATAAAAGCTCACAAGCTTATTCATACAAAACACAGGGATGGCATTCTCTGCTCTGTTGTATTCCCCATGCATTAAACAATCTGTATTAAACAGGTAATGGAAATTGCAGAAATACTACAAACTCACAGTGTCATGCATTGGTCTTATGAATCCAGTGTTTCATCACAGTAAGATCTAGAATGGGAAAAGAGTGGAGCGGAACAGTAAGGAGATGATGTGCTTTAGTCATTCTTAAGTCACCAGAGTAAATGCCTGTTGGTATCACTGCCACTAATCCCCCTTGGCTGGTCTAACCACGGACAGAGGAGATTCAAAGACATACAGTAAAGTTCAAGGCACTTCATTTCATTTGGTGGAAATTGTATGTAGTTGTTTACATAGGGCTGAATCTTAATGTTTTTTGGTGATTGTTTTATAAATACGTGCAGGCACTTCCAAAACAAACCAGGGAGGTGACTGAAGTAATTTCATCTACAGTACATTTAGATTCAGAGCACTCTGCTGATAGAGAAAGTTAAAGAAGGAAATCAATTACAGTACATCCTGCTCCCCCACAAAGAGACTCCCGACATTGGTGACTGACTGGCTTTCTGAGAGGACATGAGATAAAGTCTAACTAGCAATGAAGATATTCAGAGCTGAGAAAAGAAACACATTTGAATTTTAGGGTGGAAATAGGTCGATGTTGAGGTTTCAGAAGCAGGGCAACATTCTCAGAGAGATGAGAAATGGAAAATATTTTCATGGCAATAGTTTGGGCAGGCTGAACTGAAGAGGGGAGAAAAGTTGTGGTCAGAAATGGGGAGGATATTGAAACAATCAGTGCATAGGCAAGTGTTGAGACAGTGTTGTCTGGGGAGGGAGACTTTTGAGAAAAACAAGGTTTTAAAAACAAACGGAGGAGGAATGGAGTAACTGGTTTAGTGACCTAGTCAGCAGGGAGTGCTAACAGTAAGAGAAAAGTGAATAAGAGTAATGGCATGTACAAATTCCAAGCAGCTGGCCTTCACACTAATCTTTGTCAGAATGCTATTTCCTACCTCTGCGCACGTTGCAAGCAGCACACTTCAGAATACTCAGAGCAACAAATACACACTTACTTACTGGCCAAAAAATGTAAAGTAAAAGAGATGCCTTGAATTAAGGATAGTTCACTGGAACAAAACTATTTGAATAAGGGAAGTTTTGGTTTCCTTTTCCAATAGAGTTATTCTGAAAAATGTAAATCAGGAGCACAAGAAACTCCTTTTCTTCTCTTTTGCTTTTGTTATACTCATTTGCAAGAGTGCCAGCAGTTCCCAACATTTCCTTACTCTGTTATCTACAGCTCCACAGAACAGCTACTGTTGTAGTGATCTTGATAAGGGCACAGCTGGCAAAGTGACCACGACATATCAGTTGTATGTAACGTGATATTTGTTCTCCCTGCTTACTTGGTACAAAAGACTACTGTAATGATCTTTCCTGTTCTCTGTTTACAAAGCAAATTAAAGATGATCCCATCAGTCCTTTAACTTTACTTCCTTCCTTCACCCCAGCCATACCTTGGACCTATTGTACCCAGCGATGTCTATTGCTTCTACTGGGTCACTTCAGGGCAACTGTTTTCAGCAGCCCAGCCCTGCAGTATTTCCTTGCTTGCAACACAGAGAGATATTTCACAGTGAGACATCTGACCAAATGAGAGCATTTTCAGGTGTGAGGCAAAACCAACAATTTCAGTGATTATTTTGCTCATCATGATTCAAAATAAGGGTGGATGAGCAACTGGATGGCTTTCACAGAAAGGGAAGGAGGGCAGGCCTTTTATTACAGTCATCCAAATATAGTCTATGCTGACAGCTACTGAAGCAACCTTTACGTAATGGTGCTTCACCAAGTGGAATAAAAGCAGGAGTGAACTCAGCATCACTCTCGTCAGACAGAAGGGAATGGCACACGTAAGCCTCCTTTGCAATTAGAATTAACAGGTAGCTTTATTGGATGCCTATTTAGAAAGAGTAAATAGTAAATAATTAGCTGCTACAGCTCTCTGAGGGCACATAGGTGCAGAGTGCAACCTGAGAAGCTCAGAGCCTGCAGCATGCTGGGTCTGGGTGGGACTGCCAGCCCCTGTTTTGGAGATTCCTGCAGAGTTGTTACAAACTGCTTTCAAAAGCACTGTATCACAGGAAAGCTCTTTAACTCAGCCTGAGGCTTTATCAGGATTACAGCACTAGCTCTCTTTCAATGTATTAGCACCAAATAGATTGCACAAACCAGCAGGAACTTTTCACACTTGGAGGTCAAGTTTTTCTCTTGGAACTGTGGAATATGATGGATGTGCTGCCATCATTTTATTTCAAGCAAAACTGATAGCCAATTGAGAGCATAGAAACCTGCTGAATTAATTCATCTCCTTAATGGTATTTAAGCTTTGGCTCAGGTAAATATTTCTTTAGCAATTATTATGAAATATAGAGTGATTCATCCCCCAGCTAATGATTAGACAAATGCAGTATTTTCACTTAGGCTTTATGCATACCTTTACTAGTCATTTTGTCTGTAAATACAGACTTTGCATTGATCACTAGAATTATTCAGCCTTTTTTTTTTTTTTTTAATCTGCTTCCTTTTTCTTCTCAACATGTTACCATACCTCCATAGAAGAGCACCAAAAAGAGCAACAATATCGCCACAGTCTTTACTGCAGGAGCTTCATAGCTTAAGATCAGCTTTTTCCCTTCCCTTGGCACCAGTTTGGAGAGGGGCAGCCCCATTCTCATAGCTCACGTTCAGCTTGAGCTGGGTGAATGGAGATACGTGAACATTCCAGACCCTATCTTCCAGCTGATACGAGATTTAGGTGCCTGCTTTCCCATCATAATTTGACAAATCATGCAATTGGCAAAATGCTGGCAAATCTTTCTCATTCAGAATTTTGGGGAATCTTTTCATTCTTATTAAAAAAAAAAAAAAAAAAAGACCTGGAAAAAATCTAAAAGAAAATTAAAAAAAAATTATTTCCTGAATGATATCCTACAGAGAAGTAGTTTCTTCATTTCTCCATTGGAAAACAATCTTTTTTTCAGCTCTTAATTTTCATCTGTGGTTCCTGCTTCCTAGACCATGTACCACAAGGAAGAAAAAAGCACCCAAATAGCTTTACAGCCTGGAGGGCTTCTCCCTCACAGCCTTAAGTCACTGCATTCACAACCTTGCTAAGAGTTTCTTCCTTTTTATAACAATACCAGAAGGCCTAGGAACAGGGTGTTGTGAATTTTTTTTTAAACTTTGTTAGATGGGTTCCGAAAATATCATCAAAATGATCTCACAAACTCATAACCTACTTCTACATGCAAACAAGCAGGCTGGCTACAGATTTATCAGTGAAAATTCCTTGTCCAGAGGTTCTAGTTCTCACTTTTTTTTTCTCTCATGAATTTGGTCATCAGCATTAAATTCCAGAATCAATTAAAATACGAACCAGCAGAAGAAATGAAGTATATAAACCCTGCAGAAAATGGTGATAGAGATTAGTAGACAATAACTATATGCACTTACCAACAAGAGAGCTTAGTCTGTTGTACCACAGGAAAAACACTGATCAGCAGGTTATACAGAGAGCTGCTTGTAGCTGGATGTGCTCTCATTGTCATTAGGTGCAGGTGACATCAATCTTGGAGAAAGTTGGTAGTACACAGAGTGGAAAACCCACTACCACCCTATTTCAGAGGGGAAAAAAAAAAAAAAAAAAAGTGACATCAAATTTAGGAATTAAATCCCCAATTTTCAAACCATTTAAAGGTAGCTGGCAAATATTTTTGAGTATTTTAAACAGACAGAATGAAAAGACTTGGACAGTATTTGAATTATTTTAAAAGTTTTTGAAGTATTTTGAAAATATAAACCATTATAAATCCAAGATTACTGACAATTGAGAAATCATAGCATTATAGATGAATGTCGTCTGCCTGATGAACTCTGTTGTGCTGAAATGGGTGACAGGATCTGTCTGTATTCTGTTTGAACACTTTGGTACTACCAAAACAGAAACATGTCACAGCATTACTACTCTGAGGAGCTGCTCTAAACCTTCTCGCACAAGTGAAATTGGAAAGGAGTATTAACAACACAGACAAACGACACTACCTCTGAAAAAATGCATTTAAAAAGGAACGTATTTCTCCTGATGCATAGGAGTAGGCAAACTTGCTGATATCTTGTTACAGAAGATTTTGGTATTATTTGTCACCCTGAGATTTCAAAATATTCTGCTTAATAGTCTGAAGAAGAGATTCTGCTTGTTGATAATTGACAGAATACATGTGGAAGACATCTGGACCACCCAAATTCTTGTTCAGTTTCTATAATGTCTTGTTCTTTTGTACAGCCACTGGTTCCTAAGTTATCACAGCTTTTTAGGCATGGAGCCACAATTACATCAGTGCTGGTACATTGTCAATCTGTAAGACCTTTGACTACTTCCTCTGGGTGCTTTAACAATCCAGCAATTAAAGTTTTCCTTCATATATGTAAACTCCTCCTTACATATTCTGGATATTATTACTCAGGCAATAAAAAATGACACTGAGCTGATAATAAGATGGAGTCAGCATGGCTCAGTTAAGTATCTCTGGATGGCTAAAAAGCAATGAAAAAGAGCATAACCCAAAAGGTCCCACCTGCAACTGCTGCAGATGACAGAGGCAATCCATGTGATGGCATGTAGATATCTAGCTGTACACTGGCTGTATCCTGTCTCCTGAAACACAGGGCATGCTCCTGTACCCACTGCCTGTTTCAGGGGCTAAATCCCTTTACATGCACATCGTGTGCCACTGCAACATCTGTCTTTCCTTCCATATTGCTACTTCTGCTCTTATAATTTCCTGAACTTTAAGAGGTGACTCAGTTGGAAGCAACTTAGTGTATTTCTCTGCAAATATATAAGGATGTGTATGCACAGACAGACATGTGTAATGCTTCTTTGCTTATGAGAGCATATCAGGCTGATTCATTAAGTGGTTCTGGAAAGACAACCTTGAGTTACCTCAGCAGTAAAAGATTATAGATAACACTGATCCAATAACAAGTGCGTGTTGAGAGGTAATTTCATGGTCAAAAATTAAACTAAGAGGCATTACAAACGCATAGTGTTGAACACAAATTTTCATCTGTGTAACTATTATATACATATAAATACAAAACTGTAGGAGAATGTTTTGCCTTCTTCTCATGGTCTTTGTATGCCGCCATGTTTGATTATCGAAAGGAAAATATCCTCACAGCAAGCAGCCAGTAGTTGGTTTCATCAGCAAGGAAGTTCTAGTGCAGTACATTGCATCAGTGATGCTACAGCCTTCAGAACAACCCAGAGTAGGACTGCAATGGGCCACTCCAGATAAAAGCTTTCTCCTAATGGACTGCAATTTTCCAGCCTTCCATAAAGATGTGAATAAAATGCCAAAGTCATTTGTTTCTCTCTCACTTAAAAAAAAAAAAAAAAAAAAAAGTGACTTTAAAAATGTCAGGCTGTATAGGTACATCTGTACTATTATTAAAATAAAGTGCAGATCCATGCCTAATACTAGCACATAATTTTTATCAGTATGTGTCATAGAGATACTTTCTGCTAGTTCTTTCTTCTTAAACTATAATTCTGTACATACCAGATCTCGTTCAAAGGCCATTTTTCAATAGCAAAATTTTCTGAGATTTCACAAGTCCCAGAAACAGGCCCACTTTGAATTCTTTGTCAGCATTTGCTGGGACAAGTATTAAAGAAAGTTACTTTAAAGAATGCCTTTGAACAGCAGGTCAGTTGAGTGATTCACTTCCAGCTCATTTCCACTAGAGTTCAAGTAAGTGAATTTCCTTCTTTTTCTCTTTTTAATCTTTGATTTTTGATAGATCGGTAATTAGTTAGCCTTTGCTTTGTGCTTTGTACTGCTTGCTAACCATGGATTTGTTTGGGGTTTTTATGTGGCTTTTAGAAAACAGAAGGTGTCAAACTCAAACTAGGTTTTATAACAATGCCATTATATAACCATCCAATTAGTAGCACATTCAATGCTATTAATAGCAGCTTCCACATATAAATCATTTAAACCGTTTTGTGTAGTGTGACAAAAACCAGCAAGAAGAGGCTTCCTATCAGTTATTTTCTCTGAAAAGAATAAATGAACTTAATGCAGATATAGGAGGTGCAGAGTAATTAATGTACTACCGGTTACCAGATTGCTGTGTGTTAAGATGCAGTTTACCTTTCTGTTCTTCCAGATTTTCAGAACCAGTGCAATCTAGCTTCAGCAGTTTTAGTCCCAACTGTTTCATGTGACAGAAGGGAATAGCAGCTCACAGAGTAGGGAGATTATCTGTAAACAGAATACAACCTCGAGCACTGATTAGCCATGGAGCAAACACTGGTCTTTCAGTGAGGGTCAGAAGTACATGAGCCTCAGATATCCATTTTATATACATCTCATGCAGAAGGATGCCAGAGATAGAGCTCAGACTGAGATGGTTTGAATTATTCAGAAAAGGTGGAAATCTTTCAAGTATTTTTCCCAGGAATACTAAAATTTTGTGTTGTGTTTCACGTGTACATTAATTATCGTATCATAATGACTTCTCCAATGATTATGATGTTTTACTGTGGTTCAACTGGAATTTTGCCCCACAGTGTAACACTACTTTTCATTGTCCTCTATTTCAGCTATTTCATAACGTCAGCTATTTCTGGGCCGACGTTTGTCACGCTGCATCCACTCTAGCATAGACACGTATATATAGGAACCTAAACTCTCTTTCAAAAATCTTGACTGGATTTACAATCATCAGAAACAGCTTGCGTTTCTGACCATAGAATCTGATCCAGAATTTTTTGTATGAAGTATATTCTGAAAGGTGAGTTAAGAAATTATTTCTATTTTTTTTAAAAACCTACTTTGATGTGCATCTCGTGAGCCAGTTTGATCTTAAACTCCTCTCCTACTGAATCCCAACATGGAAGCACTGAATTCATGAAGAGATTTCTTTCCATGGCCTAACAGCCTTCTACTCTTCATCAAAAAAATTTCTTTTTATACCAGATGCCCAATTTGACATGAGGGTGGAACAGATTTAGCTGGTTACCTGCTGCTGAAATCCTTTCTTATTTACATTAAATTATGCTGCTATTTCTCTCTAGTTTTTGAAAAAAAAGAGTGTCATGGTTGCATAATGCTATCTTGGCCTGATAATCTTTAAAAATGGCTGGCAAAGTAGTTGGCACACAAAAGCAGGCTTCCCGGTTAAACCCAGTGAAGCAGGTTCACCTTCACGTGGATCAGTCAAATGAAAGACTCAGAGAAAAATGACTGTGACCCATTTTGTTCTATTGAAAATGTGTCTCTTATGCTCAGCTAAAGAACCATATATTGCCTGAGTGCTCAAAGCTATTTATATGATAGAAGATTGCTTTTTAAGTCAGGTTTTGTAGGATCAAACTAGCATATGAACATCAGAAAAGCCCTGCTGCATCACATCAATGGCACATCTAGCCCAGTGTTTTGACTCTCAGCAGAAGGAAATGCCATGCAGGTGTTGGAGTACAGAGCCTGGCTGCTTTCTCCAGCCCCAAATCACATTCACACTTGACTTTTATAGCAGTATACATTATATATGGCATGTATAAATAGCAAAGAAGGCATGGGAAGAAAGCAGAGTGGTAAGTCTGTGAAATTTTCCCATTCACCAAGAGCGATATTGTTTCTTAAAAAATGGCTTTTTGCAGGAAACTGTTCAAAGCACTCACAAATAGTCTTCTGAACTCATGATGCACAGGTAACTTTAGCCAGCTCTACAGCTGTCAGTTTCATAAAACACACAGACTTAGGTAACTCACAGCAGCCACAATGTACATATATCTGGCATCCCCGCCTAGACAAGCGAGGTTCTTATTTCTAGAAGTGGCCTTGTATGCCAGCCATCGCTAATGGGATTTTTAGTGGAAACTGCAAGCAATGGGCTGTTCCTCAGCTTCAAATGTTATTCTTCTGAGCAGCAGCTCAGATGAATATCTTGCAAATGGAAGATGCATCACGTAAGTTTTTGGTGCCTGGAAGCTGGCTTTGTTTGCTCTCTATATAGCACTGTCAGTATTTCAGAGACAATTAAAAAATATATCAAATAATTCAAGCAACTTTTCATCTGACAAATATGCAAGCAAAGGATTAATATGCCCTCTGAAGTTCTGAGAGATAAAAGCTTTGTATTTACTTTAACAAACCTGCCAAAGAGTTTAGAAAGGCCACATCTCAAGCATTAAAGTACACCTCTAACATGCACTTATAACTGAACATCTCTGGATGCTGACATATATGAACAACGATAATTTATGAATAAACTTGCCTACCATCTATAAAGGAATAAATTCATCCATGATGCAAGATTGCCTCTTTACTTCAAAATGAAGAAGCGGGACTCTGGTTGCATTGCTGCTTCCACCTTCTCAATGTCAGCTGAAAAATAATAATATACTTATTTCATCTCTAACTTGACGAAAAGACAGTCCCTAAATGATTAAAACAAGACAGTACTATGCATCTCTTTGTCCTTCTTGCAGACATTTTCAAGGTATGCCCTTCCCAAAATGGAAAAAAAATAAATAAATGGTGCTGGCTTTACCAATTACGGACATTTTCAGAAGCTCACAGAAACATGTTTCTGATATGAAAAAGACACATACTAATAATAGCAAAGGGAAGGCTTCAGTTGAGACTTAGATGCATTTTTTTTTCATATTGTGCTGTTCTTATCAAGTAGGGTTTACCAACAGTTCCTGTTATTTTTCCCAGTGCAGTACATTTGCTTTGCCTTTCTGACTTTTTTAAGGTGGATGCATACATTTTCTAACTGAACTGCCTGTTCACACAAGAAGGGTCTCATGCAGAAGGGTATTCTTTTATGTATTTATAAGCAAATGCCATAGTTGGAGTCATGGGCATTACAGATACAGGCGTGTCCATTGGAATGTGAGATCAAACCGAAAATAGAGGCTAACATAATGAATGGAATCATATGAACTAAGGAGATTCAAGCTGGCAGCACTGTCCAGTTTTTCTAATGGTTAACCCACCCAAAAGCTAAGTGCTTTTTTTTTTTTTTTTTAATCTAAGAAAACAAGTGCTCTTCTTCTAGGGACATTTTCATCATGTATGAGTTGCAAGGCTTAGGTCAGAGGTAACTGCATGAAATGTAATGGTCTGCTTTACTGAGAGAGATGGGCACAGTGACCTAATGATCTCGTCTGACTTTAGTAGCTGTGACCAGAGAATTTAAATGTTGCCAGCAGGTAATGGCTTTGTCATAAGAAGCTATTTTTTAGGAGAACCTGGTTCAGTTCTGCCTGTAATTAATCGTCAGCCTTCCTGCCAAACCTTCTGGAGAGGTTATCTGCTCATAGCTCAAAAAGTATCGGGTCATCATTAAAAAACTGAAAGAGCCAATTTAGAAAGACAGCTGCAGGGAATAAAGGGCTTCTGTCTGAAATCCTGGATCAGAGAAAAACTACTATCCAGGTAGCATGCAATTCTATGGTATACAACCTGCAGGGACAATCATGTAAGAAACAGATAACCTCCGCAACAGATCCAAAGCCAAAATATGATTGGGATGCTAAGTTTGTGGCCAACAAATTCAATTTTTTAAAAAACAATAATTCTTGAAGAACAGTATAAAAAAAATGGTGTTCCATTTCCTATGGAGCCAGTAAAATGATTAGTCTTCCTTGGTGATAAAAACTGAAATACTGAGGGTACCGCTGTAAAGAAAACATGTCTGTAAGGCTGCTATGTATTTTTATGAAAGATGATTTCCAGCTTATGAGTTTTATATTCCTTGCAAAGATTCAGATCAGTTTTCTCAGCAAAGAGTCATCCAAGTATTTTTGACAGAATTTTTAAAATGTACTTTTTGGGGAAAAAGGATGATCTCTAACAAATTCGAACGTGAATTTGTGAAAAAGCATGAATAAATTAATTATGATAATCTATAGTGGACTAAAGCCAAAAGATTTTTTTGCCATCTAAAATGTGCAGATGCACCAGCTTAGTTGTAATGCTACCAAAGTAATGGCTTCTGAGAGAGAAAATGGGAAACAGGCTGGTGAGAGTAAATACCATGCAGAACAGTGCAGTTTTACCTCCTGCTATCAAAAACAGTCTCCACTGGATCTTTAATGTATGAAGACACTTTCTTAACTGAGTAATAGCTAGCTTGTTTCTTTTTTATCAGATTCATAAAGATGCACAAAATGGATGGACTCTGTGAAACTGTACCATGGATGACAACATCTGAGGGAACTGGAAATCTCAGCAAGAAATCTGAGCTACTTGCTACTCTTTCCAAATTTTATGTTTCCTTTGACAGTAAGTGTACAGGCCTTGTTTTTATTTAAGGCATGCCACACACAGGAATTAAACACACAGAGCTGCACAAATGCTCTCGAGCCATTTAGCCTTTTCTCACAGGTTCACCTCTATGCCTCTGCTAATCAGATTGAAATTCTACTCCGTGCCAACATAACATTAATGGTTAGAAACTTTCGCTTAATATCCAGCCTATGTGCATTCATCTTCAGCGAGGAGCCATTTGCTCTGTTTCACTGTTGTCCTTTAATTTCCATTATGCATGTGCCTAAATGCTGCTTAATAGCATTGCTATGTTGAGAGTGCCTTTGCCTTCTCTTTCAGTCTCTGTCTTTAGTCTCTGATCAGGAAATAGGTTTCCATTTCCCAATCACTCTCAGACTTCTCATGGCAGCTGTTTAGATTTTATATTCTCTTTTTCAAATATGGATAAGCAAATTCTACATACTATTTATAACTACATATCTAATCCTACTTATAATAATTATTTCTTAGGAGAACAATTTGATTTCTGTCAGCCATTTCGTTTAGAAAAAACTACAATTTTTTAAATTATTATTGCTTTTACTTTCAGGGATGAACTAATTACTTCCCTGAGTAACACTGGAAGGAGTACACTACATATACTGATAGGTATTTTACTCATATATTTCCTAACTAACCATTTCTCACAAATAGATCTCAACTGTCGGTACAGCTTGTAACAAAATACCATGGCCCCAAATCTTATTTTTTTTCCTGACTTTAACACTATATTGCTACATTTCCAGGAGAGGGATGCATGAGTTATGAAGTTTGATTGTGCAATAATAGCTGCTCAGGGATTTACAGCCCTTGTTATCTCTGTCTTACAAAGCTAACTGCCAAACATGCAGGACTCTCAGGAAAAACAATTAGACATGTACAATGAAATCATGGATTAATGCTGTTTTGGATCTTTTTTGAACTTTTGGCAGGATTGCTCTGGAGATTCATATAACCTCTAGCTGCAAGTCCCTTGATTTTTGGAAACCCTATAAATGTCAAGGTCAAGAGCAATTTCTGCTTATAATTGTCCAAAGAAATAAGTTTCTGGCCCCTTTCGTGGTGTCATTGACTTTTAGAAAAATAATTGCTAAGGTTAAAATATCTCTTAGTGATCTGAAAAGCAGTGAAATTTTTCATTCAAAACCATGAAAGCCCCCACACCCCAGGCTGGTATTTCTGGCCTGTCAACTACCTGATTCCTTCTCTCCATTAATTTTCAGAGGCTGGATGGTTTAGGGAAGACTAAGATAAAATCCATGCAGTAATCTAATACAGAGAGGGTAAATGCAACTTTTTATGTGGGTATGGATCAGTAGAAATAATTTTCAAATACTGTTGACTACTGATGAGCTTAAAACAACCACTAATTAAATGCAGCACAAGAATTTTCCAATTTAAAATGAACACCATTGTTCAGAAATAACTCCCAAATTAACTTTTAATTTGCTTACCTTACTAAGTATTAAATGTGACCAATATGCTCACAATAGAAATCAACCGAATGATGGAGAACTAGTCCACAGTAAATCGACTGTCTAATGGGGTTTTGAAGGCAATGAAAAGATGCACAGGGAAAACTGGTTGTCTTGCCTGGGCTTTCGACTCTGCAGAAAGTATCTCAGAAATCTGAGCTGGAATGCAGACTTATGATGTACATCCACAGACTGCTGGGCATGTTTTATAATGACTTAAGTTTAATTTTAGATTCCAAAGTAGAAAATAAACCAGCAGGAGTATGAATGATCTCCTATGACCAGGAACATAAGGTAGATGTATTGGCATATTAAATTTCTGGAGCTGACAGGTAAATTTCTATTGATAATAGTGCCAATTGGCATGTATGACCTTATAATTACCAAATAAGTTTACAGATAATGCAGAGAGATAGGAAGAAAATATTTAAAGGAACATAGTAGAAATCCTTCCTCTCCCATAGGAAAAGAGGAAGGTGCACGATCAGCTGTTTAAAAAGTTTTAAGACATCTTGGATATCTTAAACCACATGTTATGGTGGACCAAGGATAGACTAGCAAGAAGACCTGTAAATCAACTAAGAATGGAAAAGCAGAAACAGGAAAGAGATACTAAAAATCCCTTAGCAAGAGTCAAGATGACAAGGAAAGTATCAAGGACTCACTAAACAAAAGTGAAGAGATACTTTAATTCTATTGCAGCAGATAAATATAAACAACTGGAATTTTTTGTTGATTAACATCCTTTATAGAATCACAGAATCACAAAGGATGGAAAAGACCTCCAAGATCATCCAGTCCAACCATCCACCTACCAACAATATTTCCCCACTAAATTATGTCCCTTAGTACAAAATCTACACATTTCTTGAACACCTCCAGGGATGGTGATTCTACCACCTCACTGGGCAGCTCATTCCAGAGCCCAACCACTCTTTCAGAGAAGAAATTTTTCCTAATATCCAACCTGAGTTATATCACACTGTTGTAAAGTTTTGTTTTGTTTTGTTTTTCAAGTGAACTCATTAATCAGTGGCTGGAAGAAGAATCCAGTAGGTAAAAGGGAAGTAAAATCAGTACCCTAGGAAAAAATGTAGTTAATCACTTTCTGAGGAGCTGATACAGTGGACACTTACTGTCTTGAAACAAAGCTCTACAAACAAAAGCACAAGAAATTCATCACCAGTTCTTGCTACAAGAACCTAAGCACTAAGATCAGGAGTAAATACTCATCTACAAAAAGAAGTGCATACTCAGACCTCTAGTACTGAAATAGCCTTAGAACTTCTACAAATTACATTAGAGTCCCCTAGCTCAAAAATCCATTTCTGATACTGAAAAACAGTATATTCCAATTGGTGTTTAATGAGCCAGTTTTACAAGACCAAACCAAAATGAGATTAAGCTGAAATTAAACTGAAAAACTGAAGATGATAATTGAGAATAAAAGACTTCAGTTAGATGCACCCAAAACCACAAACTTCGGCTGAAAAAGAAAGCTGCTAGTTAAAAAGCAATCTGACTTTGTAAGAAATGAAAGCCACAATAAAGTAATATAAATATTCCCACTTTCATTCCTTGAAAGTCAGGGTGATTCTTTAACAAACTATTCTCCTTTTAATTAATGCAAGGGTCTGTCTTGCTATCGGAGAGAAATTTTAGAACAATGCCATGGGGCAGCCCTTAAAGCTGTCCCTTGTGGAATTAACAGAATCTCTGATATACCAGAGATTACAAGGTTAGCAAGAAAGTGATGTATACAGTGTTTGGCCCAAGTTCCTTTCTCTTGCTAAAGTCAATTATACAGAAATTAAACTGAACTCCTATGTTCTCCTCATCTCCTCTCACAGCTTTCATCACCATTATTTAAAGAAAATATTTCCTTCCTCCATCACTTGCTAATGTTTATTGGCATAAGCTGAAGTTGTCAGTCCAAGGTGAGAGTTAGCTAGAAGAAGGAAAACCACAGAGCAGGATTGCAGGGTTGCACATTTCTTCTGAACTTGATGCTTTATTTTAGCAGCTCTGCTGGATCCCACTTTCTCAAACCTTGAGGTTTCTTGCCAGCAGACAGGCTCCAATTTCAACATTTTCTTTACAGTAACTCCTAGTTTTGGTAAGCCAAATGGGCATATTTTTCAACATAGATAAACCCCCTTCACTCTCATCTGAGAATAAGCCCAATATGTGAGTGTTCAATGCATCTTACTATTCACATGAATACAAACAAGAAAGCCAAGTCTATAAATTACATGAGATTGGCTTCTCCCAGAGGACAAGCAGGAAGTATGCGAATAAAGGTGCATATGTAAGGAAGGCTGAGCTCCTAACAAGACATCTGTGGAAGGCTGGGAGAGAATAAATCTTTTCCTTATTCTCCTGTGGAACTGCATTAATCTGGCCTCAATTAGACTTTTCTTACCTATTGCTTTTCCACCCCGTGAGAGAGCAAATAAAAACTGTTCTCTCAGTTGGGGAAGGAAAGAGGAGAGCCAATGACAAGGTAAAATGTAAAAAAAATAATAAAAAAAAAAAGTGCCAACAATTAGGAAACTACTGATCTAATCAAGAGGGCATGTTTGCACACATAATAGAGCCGACAAAGACACCCAGATGCATTCATATGAGATATGTGGAAAGCATGGACTTACGTTGAGCTTTATGGACTTCAAAGTCTGTACTCTTTGACAGCGTTGAGGCATGAATTTCTTAGAAATAGAACAAATATGAAAATATCAACAAAAATTATTCAAAGATTTTCTATTCAAATTCCTATGCTGTTTACATTTGTTGAAATCATATTTTACAGTGAGATCTACCTTTTCTATTTCTGCTAAAACAGAATAAATATATACATATATCCATCTACCCATGCATGTAGTCATCGTCTTCTGATACATCCTAGAACAACAAATCCCAATAAGCCTCATCTGATTAACACATGTATGGGAACTGCTGAGTCACGGCCTGAACCTCTGATTGATCACCT